ATAGACTTGAAATACTCAAAAAAACAAATAACTGAAAGTATAATAATAATTTAGAGTAGACCACACCGTTGGGCAAGTCAAGATTTAAGAGAAAAAAAATTAGAGAAGGGCCCACCACATTCTCACCAAACTATACATTTTTTTTTGAACAGTGTGAAATCTTTTTTCTTGAGGAAAAGGGGAATGAGGGACTTGGGATTTGATCCCAAATCCTTGTACTCCTACGCACATCCCTTGCAAGGGGCACCAAACTATACATTTAATCTCTCATTTTAATAAATTTAAAATTTTTAATTTTTTATCTTATATTATAAAGTTTTTAACCTATAAATTTAAAGATTTAAAAATTTTAGATCTTAAATTAATAGAATCTGTTAACTCTTAGTTAAAGTGAGAATAAAATATTTATAAGAATAATTTTAAAAAATAAAAATACAATAATTTATTTCTAAAAGTTTAAAATTTTAAAAAATTAGTAAATTAAAATAATTATGAATGTTTTTGTTATATACACAAGAACAATATTAGATATTTACAATCAAATCGAATGATTAATTCAATCTAAAGAAACAACTCTAACTGAGATTAAAAAAAATTTCTTGATTATATTTTTTTAGTGTATTGGAATTTTTGTCTTAGCTCAATCCCTTTATTTTTAATTTTTAAGAACTGATATTATAAATATTTTATTGTCATTTTAACATAGAGTTAATGGATTATGTTAGTTTAAGAACTAAAATTTTTAAACTTTTAAATTTAAGGATTAAAAATTTTATTATATAAGATAAAAAGTTAAAAACTTTAAATTTAATAATATAAGGAGCTGAAGGCATACTTTAGTCACCCCAATCATTCATCTGCCCTCTCCTCATAAAATAATATCATAGCTATTTTATAATTTTATTTTAACATTAAAGATTTAAAGATAATTTTTTACTTTTATTTTATCATTAAAAAAATAAAAAAAATTATTTTCATGATAAAAATGATAATTAAAATTAGGATATAGTAATTTTTTTAAATAGATTAAGCCAATAGGAAGGTGCTCACTTATAATAAATAATTGAATTTGATTTGACAGTACTAATTTATAACTATAGTTATTAATTTTTAAAATTTTTTAACAACTTAAAAATATATAAAACATATAGAATATTTATTTTAATTAATATTTTATATATTTTTAAAATAATAAAAATGTAAAAATTAAAAATTAAAATACTAAAAAATATCATCAAATGAAGCCTTAAAGAGTATAATCTTGAAATGGATAAAAAATTAAAAATGGACTCGAAATACTCACAAAGTAAATAACTGAAAAGAAAATAATAATTTAGAGGAGACCATATCGTTGGGCAAGTCAAGATTTAAGAGAAAACAAATTAGCAAAGGAGCCCACCACATTCTGGCTAAACTATGTATTTAACCCTCACTTTAATAAATATAAATTTTTTAATTCTTCATCTTACATTATGAAAATTTTAGATCTAAATTCAAAAGTTTAAAAATTTTAATTTTTAAATTAATAAAATTTATTGACTCTCCATTAAAATGAAAATAAAATATTTATAAAATCAGTTTTACATGATTTAGCTTGTTTCTCCTGTGATTTGAATTTATAACATTCACTTTTATAAAAAAAAAATACTACTAAATTATTTAATTTATTGGCAATTCATATAGACAAATCATGCAAATAAACCCTTAAACTTGTCAAGTAATGACAAATAAATGCCTCAACTTAAATGAGTGCCAAACAACCCCTTAAACTAGATGACAATGGCAAAGAAACCTTTACCTGAGTGATGACGTCATCAATCCGTTAAAAACTAACGGTGCTCTGGTTGAGTGGGATCAACTGTTAAGCTGGCGGCCATGTGGTTTTTTTTTGAGCGTGACATGGCATTTTATACCTACTTACTATGTCAATTACATAAATTAAAATAATTGAAAATGAACTAAAACTAATTGAAAAGGCAAAAATATCATTCTAAAGTCTAAACTCTTCTATCTTCTTCTTCTCTTTCTCCTCTTCACTTCGTTTCCCTTCCCCGTTTCTCTCCTCTACCCCTTAGAAGCTTCCTATAACACTGAATCACCATATCAGGATGCATTGGCAAGGTGTGTTTCAATTAGGACCTCGTGGTTGCTGACCCATGAGCTCAGGACCAAATTGGGCTACAAAACTAAGAAAAACATAACTTGCGAAGATTCAATTTCTTAATTTTGCTTATAATGTTTTTTTTTTTTTTTTGGCTGAGTCATTTGTGATTATAGGAGAAAATGGGTAATGTTTAATGAAGGGCTGAATTGAGCAAATTTGCCAGGATTTTGTGTTTAGTGAAAAGAATCTGTTCCCAATCCTTGAGTTTCTTGATTTTACTAATAATTCTTTCGTTAAATATTTATTGCACTTCTTCTTGGTTTTGGAAAATGAATTATGTAAAAACTAGTTTCTCTGAGTTTTGTGTTCATTTCCTAGATATTTGTTACCAATTCACCCTTTTTTTCCCTCTTATTCTTCCCCTTTCTTTGCTTTTCCATTTCAATTTTGGCCGTAGTATCATCATCCATGCAAGCTGACATATCATGGCAACAAATTCATCTGCAAAGGGAATGCAAATCAAAACATTCATCAAATTTAGAATTTTGTCTTACTTATTAAAATTAATATATATATATATATAATGCTACCCTATGCATTAAATAGGGTAAGCATTTTATATTTACCCCACCACACTAGCCCCACCCCATTTCCATTGGCATTTATAGCGAAGAGCCTAAAATTAAATCCATGAAAACAACTAATCATTTTAGAAATTTAAATATTACTAATTGATATGTAAGTTACTTGACCTTTAAAATAGTAACTTCCATTAATTTTTTCCTTCTTCATCTACCAACAGATGAATGATCTTAAATATTACTAATTAATATGTTGAAAAAAAAAATGATACTGCCTCTTCATCTACTTAAGAATAAACCAATCTTTTCAACATTAATAATAATAATGAACAATTAATATATCATTCATTTAAATTATTTTCAGTTATCGAGGCAAATAAATTTTGTAATATACCATTCATGTTTGCACATTTATAATTGTCCTATTCCCAATGGCATTTATATCCAAGATCCTGAAATTAAATCCATGAAAATAACTAATCATTTTAGCAATTTAAATATTACTAATTAATATGTAAGTTACTTGACTCTTAAAGTTCTAACTTCCATTAGTTTTTACCTTCTTCATCTACCAAAAGATGAATGGTCTTATATTATTAATTAACATGCTGAAAAAAAAAATGATCTTGCCTCTTCATCTACCTATGAATAAACCAATCTTTTCAATATTAATATTAATAATGAACAATTAATATACCATTTATTTAAATTATTTTCAGTTATCAAGGCAAATAAATTTTATAATATATCATTCATGATTGGATGTTTATAACTGTCATATTATTATTTTTTATTAATAAATTTATTGCTTTCTTTACATGAAGAAGGAAAAAACTAATGGAAGTTAGAACTTGAAGGATCAATTGTTTACTATTTAAAGTCTCTATGTTTATGAGAAAGTTTTTCATTGTTGTTTTGTTTTAGAGATTTGTCTAAATCCAAATTTTGATTACAAGGTATAGTTGCTTGTAGGGGTGGGCATCGGTTCGGTTTGGTTGGAATCGAACCCGAATTGATGGTTTTTATCGGTTGATTGTTTTATAAAGTAACAATTGAAAACCGAACCGATCAATATTTTGGTTATTTGGTTTTGTAACCCAATTAATCGGTTCGGTTGGTATCGGTCTCGGTTTTTTTACCAATTCTAGCCTTAGACTTTCTCGGGTTTGGGCCTTCCGTTTTTGTGGCCCAAATTTCCTACAATGTTTGATGATCCATTTTGTTCAATTTTTTGATCCAAATAAATATCCAAAGCCATCACATTTCCCAAGTGCCAAATCCAAAAAAGAATCAAAAGTCGTTCAAGCATATCCCAATTTCTGCAATCTCAAGGTTGTCAACACAATGCAAAAGTAAAGAAATCATCCAGCCTTTTCCATAAAAAAAAAAAAAAAATTCTAAGCACAACTGTAGAAATCAAAAGACAGGATTTTGACCGTTTTGGATACTGCATTCGGATAAGGTCTGACCATCTTTGAGTTACTTGCCGGCGACGATGAGACGCTATTGATCCGGTAAGATCCTATGGTTACATCTTCCACCTTTTTGGGATGAAGGAGATTGGGCTTTCAAGTTATAAAACTTGTAGAAAGATGGAGATTAAAAAGAGAAATATAGAGAAAGAGTGAGCTATAGAGCTTGGGAGATTAATAAAAGAGAAGAACGAGAATTGGAGAAGAAATAGAAGCATAGAACAGAAAGTGAAAAGCGACTAAAGAACAAGAAATAAAAAAAGGAAGATTAAAGATTGGATTTAGCGGAGATGAAATTTTTTTTTATCTATGGAAGGCAGGTGGCAGATCTGGATCTGGGTGAGGAGGGAAAGAAAATTTTATTGAAAGGGAGAGGATTAGGGTTAGGTTTAAGAGAAGGGAGTGAAAATATATTTATATATATATATTTCTTATTCGGTTTTATTATTCGGTTGCTCGGTTTTTGGATTAACAACCGAACACCGAACCGTTT